ATGGGGCTTTCAGCAACCTGGTCCGCTGGAAGGTGTCCCTGCCCATGGCGGGGGGGGTTGGACTAGATGGTCTTTAAGGTCCCTTCCAACCCAAACTGTTCTGTGATTCTATGATGAGATCAGATACATGCTAGAGCCAGTGCAAGGGAGAAGCATCTAGTCTAGCATGTTAAAACAGACAGCAGTTGATTTGGAAAGAAACTGGGTAGAATGCAGTTCAGGTATACTTTTAAGCATTGAGTTTGATTTGTATCTTACTGGATCTACCAGTGGGATCCACCTATCTTCTAAATTACATCATTGATACCTATTCTATAAGCTATGGTTTCTTCCGCTGTTACATCATGGAGTTTTGACTACTGCTCTATTCTGTCTGTGTATCTTTAAAGTGAAGATTTTTACCAACCAGTGCTGTGGGGTTTTGCCTTTTATCTATTATACTGAAAGAACTTACAATCTACTGCCTGTACATCTTTTAAAATATTTTTGCTGAACAGTGAGTATTAGACAGAAGCTAGACAGGGTTAAAAATTAAGAAAAAGTCTGGGTTTTGTTTGAATCTTTATTTCAGTGGGTGGAAAAAACATCAGCTGGTTCATACGTGTTTCGTAACAGTCGAGCTGAAGAAAGGGAAGCTGCCAAGCATGCAGAAGATCAACAAAAGAAACTGGAAGCTCTGTTTGCAAAAATCCAAGCAGAATATGAAAAGCATGAAGGTAAAGCTTTCCTTGTTTCAGAACATGTAATAAGAACACAAGAACTTTTTTGGCATTTACAGAACAGTTTAAAGAAACTGGCAAAAGCTTCTCTGATGATACAGAAGCAGAGATAGGGTATTGGGGTGTTTTCTTGGTTGGTGGTGGTCTTGTGTTGTATTGTTTTAGGTTTTTTACTTTCTATGTATCAAGACCTTTCAGTACAAAACAGTTATACATTTATTTGCTTGGCTTTGCAGCTATCTAGGAAGCTTCCTGAATGTGTTGGTAGCCAGGCTACTAAAAAATTACCATTGAGATGGTGCTCAGGAAAGTGCTACAGAATTGTAGAATTGTTAATTCCATTCTCTTTAAAGACCTGACACTGTAATATTTCACCCAGAGGCGGGCGCTGCTTAGGAAGTATCTCAGTAGACCTGAACACCAAGACTGAGCATCTTTCCTCACAAATATTCCAGGACTGTGGAGATACTGAGGTCAGTGGAGCCGCTAAATGGGACATGGACTCTGGTGATAGAATGTGGAGAAGGCTGAGTTGCTGAATGCCTTTTTCACCTCAGCCTTAACTAGCAATACCAGCCTTCAGCAATCCCAGGCCTTGGAGACCAGGGGAAAGTCTGGAGCAAGGAAGACATACCCTTGGTGGAAGAGGATCAAGTTAGACACTACTTACATAAACTGGGCATACGTAAGTCTGTGGTCAGTGATAGGATGAACCCACAAGTGCTGAAGGAGCTGGCTGATGTCTTTGTGAGGCTGCTCTTGCTCCTCTTTTGGATGATAGTGGTCATTGGTAGAGGTGCCTGAAAACTAGAGGAAAGCAAATGTGTCTCCTGTCTTCAAAAAGGACAGGAAGGGAGGACCCAGAGAACCAACTATAGGCCAGTCAGCCTTACCTTAATCCCTGAGAAAGTGATGGAACAACTAATCCTGGAAACCATTTCCAGGCACATGAAGGACAAGAAGGTGGTTGGGAGTAGTCAGCAGGGATTTGCCAAGGGGAGGTCATGTTTGACCACCCCGACTACCTTCTGTGATGAAATTACTGGCTTGGGTGGATGAGGCGAGAGCAGTGCATGCTGTCTGCCTTGACTTCAGCAAGGCTTTGGACACACTGTCCCTTAAGATCCTCACAGAGAAGCTGATGGGCATGGGCTAGATCAGCAGCCAGTCAGGTGGATTGAAAACTGGCTGAACAGTTGGGTCCAGTGTGGTGATCAGTGGCACAGAGTCTATTTGGAGGCCAGCAACTAGCGGTGTACTCCAGGGATCAACCCTGAGTCCAGTCCTGTTGTAACATCTTCATCGGCGATCTGGAGGATGTGGCAGAGTGCACTCTCGGCAGGTTTGCCAATGATACAAAATTATGACGAGTGACTGATACACTAGAGGATTGTGCTGCCATCCAGATGGGCCTCAACAGGCTGGAGAAATGGCCTGACAAGAACCCCGTGAAGTTCAACAAAGGGAAGGGCAAATCTTGCCCCTGGGGAGGAACAGTCCCATGTGCCAGTACATGCTTGGGGCTGCCCAGCTGGAAAGCAGCTTTGCGGAAAAGGCCCTGGGGATCCTGGTGGACAAGTTGAGGAATGCTGCCAGAAGGTCTAAGGAGGTGATCCTTCCCCATTGTTTAGCACTGGTAAGTCCACATGTGGAGTACTGTGTCCAGTTCTGGACTCCCCAGTACGAGAGAGACACAGATATACTGGAAAGCGTCCAACAAAGGGCCATGAAGATGCTTAAGGGATTGGAGCATCTCACATAGGAGGAAATGCTGAGAGAGTTGGAACTGTTCAGCCTAGAGAAGAGAAGGCTCAGGGGCATCTCATCAATGTGAAGGGAGGGTGTAAAGAAGATGGAGCCTGGGCTTTTCTCGGTGGTGCCCAGTGACAGGGTAAGAGGCGATGGGCACAAACGGAAACACAAGAGGTTTCCTCCGGACATCAGGAAACCCTTTTTCACTGTGACGGTTACTGATAGTGTTGCCTAGAGAGGCTGTGAAATCTCCATCCTTGGAGATAACTCAGAAGCTCGCTGGACTTGGTCTTGGGCAGCCTGCTGTAGGTGACCCTGCTTGAGCAGGAGGGTTGGCCAAGATGACCTCCAGAGGTCACTTCCAATTTCAGACTTTTTCTGAACTGGTAATGGGATGATGCTGCACGCCTCTGCCAGGGCTTTCGAGCAGTAGCGCCAGGTCTGCTGTTGCTGTAAGTGCCGCAACAGGCTGCTGACTGCTACAGCTTCGTGAAGCTCACTGCTGCGCCAGAAATGGGTTTGCTTCCCCTTAGATTTGACTCAGCTAAACTGGGATGAGGAAAGGTATTGGTATTCTTGCCACACTGAATATGGGTTCCAGCTTCCTTGATACTCTGGTCTGTTTTTTGGGAGGAGTTTTTGTTGGGTTTGGTTTGATGTTTTGATTATTTTTTTTTCCCCCTCAGGAACAGATAGGATTCCATCACTAATGGTAGCCTGTGCAGTTCAGATGTCACAGGGTCCTATTTACAACCCAGATAGCCTCTCCCTTTCTGTAAATCTTTCTTTTCAGTGATCTGTAGCACTGAGATGTTCTTTAACTGCTTTCTCAGAACCTGGAGTCCCTCACAAATAACAAGGAAAAGACAAATAAAGCCATACCCTAAAAAACCGAAACGACAACCCCCCCACTGAATTCTTTGTTGAAATCAGAGATTTCTTTGTAATTCTTAACTTCACTGATATAAACTTCCACATACCAGTCACCTCATTGTGGTGTTTTATGTTTGACTGGTAAACTTGTCTATGCTGGAGCCTACTACGCTGAAGGAATGAACCAGAATGCTAGCTAGCAGCAAAATGACTTGCCTAAGAGGAGGGTGATAGTTTAATGTAATGAAGTTAACCTGGCTTTTAGCTGGTGTCCTAAGGAGGCTTCATGTGCAGGCCTGTGGTCACCTGTTGTCCCAGATCTTGGTATCTTTGAGACTTCTCTGCTCCATGAGAGGAAGTGACACGTACAGAAAATGCGATCAAGTATTAATGAAGTTCCATGGTGGCCCTTCAAGTCTCCCACGCTCTCCTAAGTGCAGACACTGATACTGACTTCCCCAAAGTTTGTTTAATATTCTAATCTACGTGTTATGAATGAGTTTTCTTGTTTTCTGCTTGTATTTTTCTAATAGATAGATACACACGTATATTGGGTCCTATATTGGAGTGTTTTGTATTTTTATTCTGGCAAGGCCTAAGTACTATCATGCTTCTTGCATAATTATATCTTCTTTCATTTTTTAAGTGTGATGGTTGTACTCAACATAACGGCTTTTTTCCCAGCAGAGAGAGCTAGCAGAAGAACACCCAGATCACACAGAGTCACAAGACAGCAAATCCGTAATTTGCATGATGGCGCAGAACTTTATGAAGCAATTCAGAATGCATCTGATCCTGGTTATATGGAGGTGACTGTCTGTACCACTGGACTAATTTCAAAATTCTTGTGGAATAAATTACATTTTAATACCTCCTGCTAAAATCAACCCTTAAACTATTATTTATTTTTGCTGCTTTTTGAGATTTTTCTACAGCATCCTTTTTGCTACATAAACTAAGATTTTAAATTTTGAAAATATCTTAATGAAGGCTTGTTGAAATAGATCAGTAATACCTTGGATTGCAAAACAGAATGCTGGTTTCTCTTGATACAAAAATCCAGGATACAGCACAATTAAAAGTTAATGTTATTTGTAATTTTATGCCTTTGCTTTGTCTTGCATATATGAACTAAATGCATCTCGTGAGTCTTGAGTTTCGCACTTATCCTTGCATGCTGTTCACTGAAGTGCTTGAGTGATTATGTTGTCATTGTTCTCTTCATTCCCTGTTCCAGTTCAATCACAACTTTTAAGTGTTTATGCCTTTATTAATAAAGATGCGGGTGATTAGTCCCTGCCAGCTGTTAAAAATTAACTACATGCCTCATGTTTTGCAAGTCAGGGTCCTCGACTGTCACAGAGCCATACGCTCTGTGACTTTATTTGATAAAATGTTAGCATAGCTGTGGGGCTACAATAAAGGCATCTGGATCTTGAAGGCTTGTTCAGAAAGTGTAAACCACTGTCAGCTCAGAGGTAGCAGCCTGCTGAGAGGTGCAACTCTTATACAGAATTTTTTTCTAATATTTCTTTCTTGTGAAACAGGCAAGCATGCCTGTTACATTATTCACCTTAGTTACGCACTCTTAAGCAGTTTTTCACTAATTCTCACTTAAGAACTGTGTGTAATGTAATACTTAAACAACAGAGCACCAGCTCCGTTGTGTGACTGGTGACTCCTGTTGTGTTGACATAGCTCATTTCAAGTCCTAATAAGTGTTGTATCAGTTGAACAATAGATTGCTTGTAAAGGCAAACTCCTAAGAAGGAGGCTATCTAAAAATCTCAATGGGATGCTCTTAGTTAATAAAAAAGATGCTGAATACATCTCCTCTTGGTTACAGGGATACCTCAGTGAAGACCAATTAAAAGCTTTGAATGCTCACAGGCAGCTGATGAATGATAAAAAGCAAACTCAGATACAGGAAGAATTCAAAAAGGCTTTAGAGTCGGCAGAACAGGAAGAAAATGGTTGTTCCAAAAGAGATGTGTCTACTGTATGGAAATTATGTGTGGTAGACTACAGAAAGCACGAAAAACATAAAGGTTAGTACTTGGAAAATTACGAATAACTGTTATCTAAAAATGGTAAGTGGCCAACATAGCAGGTAGATTTGAAGAGTTTCCCAACAGTATTCTAGCTTGCACATTAATATTTCCAGTTTTATTTGGGTTTTGGTTTGGGGCTTTTGGATGGGAGGGAGTGTTGTGGATTTATTGTGTTTAAAAGCCTTCAAACTTGTATTGCCCAGCTAATAGTTATTAATCTGATACTATTAGGAGTGATACTGAGTATCTGGCGTCCACTGCTAGATGTTTGCTCGCTGTTAAAGGAAGGCAGCCGGTACAGAATCTACCAGCTGTCAGCATCCCGGTCCAAAGGAAGATCAGACTCAACTAACATACAATTAACAGCAACAAAGAAAACTCAGTATCTACAACTATCAGTAAGTGCATTACGTACATCAAGACATACGGTTAAAATGTATCACAGTCTATACAAGTGTCTTGTAAATACTTACAAATTGTGTGTTTCTTCAGGTGTCACAGGAGGTGCTGGCACAGATTTTCTTTCCACGAAAGGCTCTAAAGTTCACCAGTTTGTCAGATCCCTCTTTTCAGCCACCGTGCGCTGAAGTTGATTTAGTTGGAGTTGTAGTTTCTGTTAGCAGAACAGGTACGTTGTGGACCGCATTCATGTCCTCCCATTGAATAAGCACTAAATTTTATATTTCAAAAGCCAAAATGATCTTGGTGTTGTACCTGCATCTCAGGCCTGTGAAAACCTGCCAATATAGCTCATCATTGTTGATATGCTGGCAGGTAACTGTTTTCCTAAAGCAAAACTGTCTTTACTTACTATTTGCTCAGGATTAATTTAGTAAGGGAGGATCTAAGATCAGGAGAAGCTTTTCTTAATTTTTTTTTCCCATAAATGGTGGATGTAAATTCTCACATCTGTGTTCCGCATCTGCAGAAGTGCCATCGCGCGTGTACGTGAGCTCCCTCTTTTGTGTACAGAGTCACGGAATGAGCGGAGCTCAGGGCCAGGTGGATAATCTTCTGATTAAAAAGGAAAAGCACCACAGGAGTATTGTTTTTTAAGCGCTGGAACACAGACTTTGAGTTGTTTTCTGTAGTCAGTAGGGAGATAGTGCAGAATATGAACGAAGCATGAAGCACCCATTACCATGCAGACAGGCTGCCATGTTACGTTTATCAATTCTCTTTCAAGATGTGACTGTTTTATAGGTACAAATTGCAATAATCAACCTTTACTTGAATAGCTGAGGTATAATTCAGACTTTTTTCTTGCTTTTAGGTTTCACTACTATGGTGTACTTATCTGATGAAAGCTGTAATTTAGTGGCAGTAAAGATCTGGGCAGATCTCAGACACTTCGCTATCGAAGATATAGTTGTGCGCTGTTCGTTCATTTCTGCAAGCAATCTCCAGTGGCAGTCTGAATTCAGGTCAGAAATTCCTGTGCTGTTGGCTGCGGAGCTTTCTGTATTCTCAGCCTGTCCAAAGGAAACCTATCTTCAAGAGAAGGTTAACGAACTGAGAAGCTTGATAGAGGTAAATCTGTAGATTTTTAGTTTAATGATTAGTTTTAGTTCCCACTGTGTTACATTCTTCACCAAAAAGTCCATTAGTACTAACGCATCTTTAAAACAAGTAATGCACATGCTGTGGAATTTGATGGGATTTTCTGGGAGATGGAGTAAGGTGTTAATGGACTTTTCCTGGAGGACTCTACGTATCACCTACTGAATGTGTTTTGATTTTTTTTTAATTCAGCTCGACCAACACTGTCTTCAGGACATGCCACAGAATGTTCTCTGGCTAGCAAAAAACACTTTACCTGTCAGTTGGGAATCTGACATGGACAGTTTGGCTCTAGCCTTTTAAAAGTTGAAATTTAGCAGAATATATTCTGTATCAGATTGTTGATTTCATTATTATTTCAGTTTTCTAGCTGTGCTAAAGAGCACGCCTTGGTCATGCATTCTTACTTCTTACTGAAAAATAAGTTTAAATACAAAAGGATTTTTCCTTGTTAACAATAAAAGGAAGGTGACAGGACAAGAGGTAATGGCCACAAACTGGAGCACAGGAAGTTCTGCCTCAACATGAGGAGGAACTTCTTTACCCTGAGGGTGACAGAGCACTGGAACAGGCTGCCCAGGCAGGTTATGGAGTCTTCTTCTCTGGAGATACTCAAAACCCACCTGGACATGATCCTGTGTGACCTGCTCTAGGTGGTCCTGCTCTGGCAGGGGGGTTGGACTACATGATCCCCAGAGGCCCCTTCCAACCCTCACCATTCTGTGAGGCTGTGTGATATTTCCCTCCACTGAAAGTGCAGCTGTCTTTGAAGTTGTTGGTTTGATATAAAATAAACTTCTAGTGGGATTGCGATGAAAAAATGAAGTACCAGATACTTTGTGAGCACATAGCACTTACACAATTTGAAAAACAACTACTCTGCATTGTAAACTGTTCTCCTTTACAGAACGTGGCCTCCTTTTGCTCTGATGCAGAGAGTAAATTGATGAATTTGCTACGAAGAAATCACTCACTTACACCCGGGTTAACTAAAAGATGTGTCTTGGAATGCCCCTCTCCTTCCTGCACCTCAGGTCTTTATGCAGAGGACAGAAGTCTGGTAAGCTGCTGGAAATTCAGATTGTGTTTACACTGACAGTACGTACAGTAAGGATACAAGCAAGTTTCATACCGATAGCTGGGGTGGATGGTTTCCCTTCTCACTCTGCTCCATACCTTCTCTTGGGGCAAGGCAAAGCTGCTCAGCAACCTCCCCTTGTGGCCTGTGTTTTTCACAGCATACTTTAAATATTCTGAATTTTATATAAGTAAAATGAATCATCCTTTCCCTATAGAAGATTTATCGCTTCCTTGGTTCTGCTGTGGAGATTATCTGATGTGGATGTTACTGGAAGGAAAAAATCTTGATCTGTGATTTTTTTCTTTCACAGCATTCTGTAGTTCCTACCTTTGTTTATAGAATTTACCTCCTGGTCTTCTTTTCTTAGATATTGTTCACGATTTCCAGGATTTAGAAGGGAAGAGGTATCACCTAGTAAATATTTAGATTTTCTAGCAGTCTTGACAAAAATTGAGTTAAATTGTAGTCAAGTTTCCCATGAAGGCTGCTGGTGGCACGTTGTTCCTGATGCGGAGTACTGAGTGCAGTCAGAACAAACACCTTTCCGGCCACTAGTTGCGAGGGAGGCAGAAACACCCTGATGTGAGATCAGTTCCTGGGGACTAAATTTAAGCTTGTAAGGTGTCCTTTTCCATTTCAGAGAGTACGCTAATATTTAATTCTGAGGGTTTAGTTTATATCTGTTCATTAAATACATTAACCAAGTTAAAACAAATGAGACTTTAAAGGTATTCTCAGGTTAAGCATGTGTTTGAATGATGTGCTGTGCAGCGTCCATCTTGTGTGTATTGTTATCTTCAAGTGTTCTATCCCTCTTCTTCAAAAATGTTTCCATTTTTCCCTATGTAACAACCCGTTGAGGATATATCCTTAACTCCTTTTTATGACTGCTTTGATTTCTTACCATCTGCCACATTTAGCTTAGATGGCGGAAAAGAGACTGTAAATGTGCTGTCCTAATGTACACGTAAACAGTGATTTATCAGGCACCAATACCTGAAAGAATAATACTAGTCACCATCCGAAGATACCAAACTAAAGTGAAGTCAGACATGGATGATGACAGCATTTTTGTATTAGGGGTTTCTTTTTTCCCCCTTGTTCTGTGGAAGTAATTGAGGAAGCTAATGAAACTAGATATTCTGTTCAACATAAAGCGCTTCTCTTTTTAACTAGATCTCTTCTAAAATGGAAATAAAGCATCCAAGCCCTTTGTCAACCAGCACACCGAATACGAAACTTGTCACACAAGGGTCAGCCAAAACGCCTTCCTCTGCTACAATTAATCAAGACCATCCCAAAAACAGCAAGAAGAGAAAAGCTATGGACCTCCTCAGCTGCATACCTGCCCCTCCACCACTCACACCACTGTGTTCAATAATTTCTCCATCTTTAAAAAAAGCATTTCAGCCTCCACGAAGTTTGGGTTTACAGCGTAGCAAGTCATCAAAAGAAACAAATCAGAGTATTGGTCATGTCACCCCCTGTAGAAAATGGAGGGAAACTGTCCATCTTCCTGAGAATGACCTGGTTGCTGATGAAGAACTTGCGATGATTAACACACAAGCCCTCATGAATAATGTAGCAGAAAAGAAGATTGATTGTGTACATGAAAACAGCAATACAACAGCTAGTAATTTATCTGGTGATCTTTTGCCCCAAAATAGTTCCAGGTCTACTGGGGAAGCAAATAACTCATCAAAAAGCAGTTCTGAAGTAGCTGAGGCTGTTCAGAAGGATACAAAGGAACCTGAGGAGTCGCTACCAGCCCGCAGAATGCTACAAAGACAAAAACCCCGAAAATGCTACTAAAGGCACATGTACAGTATTGTATATATTTCAAATTCAAATTATTTTTACACTTTGTACATTAAATCCTGATTGTATTTAATAAAGTTACATTACAAAAACAAAGACACATATGACATGACGCTTCATCTGCAGAATAATTTGGAGTTGAGTAACTATACAAACACATGTATCGGACAGTAGCCTCTGTGTGGCTGCAGGTCTGGTGGCATTTTGCAAGCCCTGGCTTTGACTTTGATGTGTTCTTAAACTACAGCAGGATCTTTGTGCTGGTCTAAGGCAGTTACCTGCTGCAGTATTAGAATGGCTGGTTGGCTGTCAGAAGTGGCACAAGGCAAAATAAACAATTCTCTTAAGTTTATCGTTGCCAAATGTAACACTTAAATTCTGAAGTATTGCTCCGTGATTCTGGCATGTTGTACTTTCCCCCTCAAACTCTGCCTATAGAACAGCTCTGATTATTTAACAGATTCATAGCGAAATGCCATACAAAGGTATTAATGATAGATCCTTGGTCAGTGTTTAAAGAAGCACTTGAGACCACTGCATCTGAAATCTTTCTTTGATTTCATCATGAGAGCTTTCTACTGGGAGTGCGTTAGTACTTGAGTTCATTACTTTGTTCTCATTAATTTCAACAGGCAAAGCTGCTCAGAACTGGAGTTTCTCCATGGGAGGGGGAAACAGTCCTGCTAGACCGGCTGCCCACTCCCCGTTTCAGTTAGTTCGTTGTCAGGCTGCCTCTTGCCCTGCTGCTTCCCACCATGCGCGGGTCAAAGGAGGGAGGATGCTTCAAAACCCAGACCACCAGCTCCTACTCAGCAGCCTGTCAGGGGTCCTGTGCTGTTCCCTTGGCTCAGGTGTTGAGCTGGGGGGTGGCTCCTGTCACCAAGCTGAACAGTGTAGCAGGACTGGAGAACTGTAGTGGGCTGATACAAGCTTGCTGATAGTTGTGTAAACCTTTGTGCAATACTGCAGAGTTCCCTAGGTCATAATTATTTACAGTGATGATACTACTACTTTAAATGCAGCTTGTGTAGAAAATGCAATTCAGCTCATCTACTCTGTCCTGAAGAAAGCTTGGCTTTTGCCCAGAAACAGCAGATTTCTTTGTAGCTCCTGTACTTTCCTGTCTGCTAAACTGCTAGATGAGTAGCAGCTATATCCATAGTTCTTAATGTCCACTGTCAGCTGTCTTCATTTCCTGCTGCAAAATAACTCACTACTGCCCTGTTCCGTAAGCACTGCCTAATAATCCACACTTACTTAAAAAAAAATCACCAGCACAAATGCTGAGTTTCAAAAATGTTTCACGAGGCTTCTTGACGAGGACATAATCAGCAGAATTTAACAAAGCGGTTAAAATCCCGCAGGATCGCTTCCTTCTCACTCATCCATCAGAAAGTGGCTTCTTAGCACTTAGTGGTGGAAGGAGTTGATTTCTCCCCTTTACATTTTTTTTTTTCTCCTAAGTCATTATTTTGTACTTCTGAGTTAGTTTGGGTATTTGGTAGCCTTGCGCTTCAGCTGTTCAGAGCTGCTCCTGTAGCTCTTCTTCTGTTCCTACTCAGAAGTCAACATGCACTAGCTTAACACTCGTGTTTCCTTGTAGAAGCCTCCGTACAGGGACTCATCTCGGGATTGGTTGAACTCCTATGTCTTGGCAAGGTAAAGGGCTCGGTCTGGTGTGCTCAAGTGGTTTGCCTCCAGGCTGGAGAAGCTGTTTAGCTGTGACAGAGCTGAGGTAAAGCCAGCATGAATCCAGAGAGCAGAGGTACAGAGAGGGAACATCGAATCTTGCTACAACCTGTTAAGAGATACCTTTTCCACCATTCGCTTTGCCTCTTAAAGCTTGCAGTAATGCTCCAGGCAAGAGGGAGTGGGAAGATACAACAGATTACACAGCCAGATATAAAGCATTAAAATTGCAAGAAGTGACAACCACATGGAGCAGGAATTGGCCACATGGCCTGTAAGAAAGAATTTAGGAGTATTTATTGTTATTAGGGTCAGGGCATGATGTAGGGAAAAAAAAAAAACAACAAAACAAAAAGTGTGTGGTACAGCCAGTAAGTTTCACCGTAAGCTTGAATGGATTTTCATGGAGGAAGAGGGATGAGAGGAAGTACAGACTGTACTGGGGACAGTGCTCTTTTAAATTGGTCAGTTAGAGTTGTAAGGTCATAATCCAGTGCCATTTACAAAGCTTTGTTAGAAATAAAAATAATTTAGAAATGTAGTAGAAAAATACAAGAATAAAAAACAGTTTAGAAAAAAATTTAAAACTAGAGACTGTTATACCCTGCTAATTAAAACGCACTGACGAATCCACCTCTTCAGTTGAATGACACAGTGTTTGTACGTGCCACGTGAGGTCTTCTGTTTGAGAAGGCTGGCGGGGGGTAGGAATGGGCACCCATCCTGTAAGCTGCACCTGGTCCCCTAGAGCTTCTCTCATCTCGGCTTGGCTTCTCAGACTGAAGAACACTGTGGAAGGTAACATTGTGCTCGTATTGTTCCTTCATCCATTCTATCTTTTGTCGAGGGACATGATGAATATTTCTTCTGTAGAATCAACATTACCAGAAATAGAAGGATTTAGCTGCCTGTGTATTAGAGGTTATCTTAAGCTTGCTAAGGTTCCTGATCTGTTCAGGGTAACAGTTCATGTCCCCGCTGATCCATTTCTAGCCCTTTTTTTTTGCCAAATTGATCTTCACTTCCACCTACTTAAAAATATTTTTGTGACGGCTGAAAAATGTAATGCAGGTATTTTTCTGGACAGCCAGGACCCAAGGTTAGACAAGTGCTTTGAAATGTAGGCCAGGTAAGAAGGAACTATGTAGAAGACCTGTGTATTATTTTATATGGGTTTCAGTGTTAACGGCTTGTCAGCCTCAGGGTGAGCTGTTACAAATCTGGAGAAACGCAGCCAAGGGCTACAGGCAGTCCAGACACTGACTCATAATCAACAAGTGTAGTGGTCAAAAACCTGTCATTGCTTTGTCTGAGCACATGTGGGGAAAACCCTTAGTGATGTCGGTCATGCTCCAGGGCAGTTGTAAACCATGATGAGCCTGGGAGGGGAACAGGCTGGTCAAACACGTAGGGCTTTCTGGCTAGACCTGAAATGGCTGCAGTCTCCTGAGATGTTAGTGGGAATTTTTTTTTTTTTTCCCCCCAACACCAGAGAAGAGAAGGCACCAGGGAGACCTTATAGCAGCCTTCCGGCACTTAAAGGGGGCCCACAGGAAAGGTGGGGAGGGACTCTGGATCAGAGATTGTAGTGATAGGATGAGGGGCAACAGTTTCAAACTGAAAGAGGGGAGATTTAGATTAGATATTAGGAAGAAGTTCTTCACTGTGGGATTGGTGAGGCACTGGCACAGGTTGCCCAGAGAAGCTGTGGCTGCCCCCTCCCTGGCAGTGTTCAAGGCCAGGTTGGATGGGGCTTTGAGCAACCTGGTCTGCTGGAAGGTGTCCCTGCCCATGGCAGGGGGTTGGAGCTAGATGGTCTTTAAGATCCCTTCCAACCCAGACCGTTCTATGGTTCTATGATTTCTGCTTGTCTGTGAGTTTACAAACTCTGTTTGGTTTTGTCATGTAGCTCTATTAGGCACAATTCATCATCTAGAATCTAAGTTTGTCCTGCATCCATATTTTCAAAGCCCTGTGGTGTGCAAATCCTGCATCGCTCAACGTGTTTTTTCCCTAGTGGAATTCAGGTGACAGTAACACAGCAGGCTGCCAGCTGCAGCATCTTGCTGGTGGGGCGGCACGAGGTCCCCCAGCAGCCAGTGCCCTACGTGTGTGCGCAGCCTGTGCTGGGACCAGCAACCGCCACAGACCATATTGCCAGTAACGACACAAGGTGGGACCTAAACGGAAGCAACGCACCGCGGTCCTGTCAGCTTCTGAAGCCAGTAGATGGGCATGCACTTGCCAATTGGTTAAAGGCTAGAAAATTAGCCAGCGTGGAGTTTTTTGTCATCTAATCATTAACCCTGCACCCACTAGCTGAACTAACATACTTAGAGCCGTATTTGGCTGCCTCTACACCCTACCTGCAGAGCTGACGCATTCATTATATCCCTTTTGTGTGTGTGTGCTAAGATCTTTAGAAAGATCCTCTAGAACCTCGTTTCTTGACTACACTTAATGTAGCATCCCCCACTTGCTACAGCAAGACAATCCTTGTTACGGATAGGAGTTTTAAGAACAGAAGGCTGAATGTTGTCTATACTGCTTAGACGTGGGTTTGTGCCCAGACATATAGTGCTGGTCAAACTACAGAATGAAAATCAGGGCTCCTGCCCGAGAAGCTTGCAGTAGAAATACAGGCTTCAGGGTGAGGGGTTTGCTTTTTCTACTGCCTCACTTCAACATGGTCAGGCTCTTTCAGGGCTGAATTCAGTGCAAACCAAGTACTGAGTAACAGAAATTTTCCACGACAAACCTTGGTAACTTGGTTACTTTTTAGGGTATATGAAGAGGAAGAGGGATGACCTTCTCAGAGCACATCAATAAAATGAGAAGCTGTCTGCTGTATCAAAGAGAAGATGTACCTTGTCAGTTCTTGCACATTGAACTTCCAGGGCGTATCTGGTTCTTGGAATGTAACTTCATATCTATTTTCACGTGCCTGAAGAAGGACACAGAAGTTTCAGCTGTGTGGCTGCTAAGCTCAGGAGTAGCCAATCTGCTAGTCCCAAGATTTTCTCTGGCTAAGAGGTGTATTGCATGTACCAGGAGCCAGAAAGAGGAAGATAACCATGACTCCCATCAAGGTGCTGCTCTGAGTCCCAGCTATTCATTTCCTTCTACATCAATGGATTTGGGTCTCCCAGCAAAACTTGCCTCGGCATTGCCCCCTGTCCCCATCCCCCATGGCAATGGAATCCTGGCACCTGAAATCTCTGGAAGTCACAGATGGTTCAGGAGCCACAGGTTGGCCACACCAGGTGGGAGCTTCTGGGAGTGTGAGGTCAACATCTACCAGTCATGCTATTTCCAGGCCTCGATTATTTTAAGGTAAAGCAACACATTTTTATTTATATATATATAT